TCCAGGAAATGTGGGACACCATGAAAAGGCCAAACCTAAGAATAATAGGCATAGAGGAAGGTGAGGAAACCCAGCTCAAAGGTGCTGAAAGCATATTCAACAAAATCATCAAGGAAAACTTTCCCAATCTGAAGAAGGACATGCCCATGAAAGCACAAGAAGCATACCGAACCCCAAATAGGCTGGACCAAAGAAGAAAGACCCCTCGACATATAATAATCAAAAGACCTAGCATACAGAATAAAGAAAGAATATTAAGAGCACCAAAGGAAAAAGGACAGGTAACAACATATAAAGGCAGACCTATCAAAATTACACCTGACTTCTCCATGGAAAGCCTCAAGGCCAGAAGATCCTGACACAGATACCAGCCTAGGCTACTATATCCAGCAAAACCCCCAATCACTATAGATGGAGAAAACAACATATTTAATGACAATACCAGATTTTCCCAATACGTATCTACAAATCCAGCCTTATAGAAAATATTGGAAGGAAAACTCCAACCCAAGGAAGGTAACTACGCCCACAAAAATGTGGGCAACAGATAATCCAACTACACCAGAAACCAAGAATAAAGAAGACCTAATATATTCACAATACCACTGCCAACAACAAACCTAAATCAAACAAGCATCAACAATCAATGGTCCTTACTCACCCTCAACATTAATGGTCTTAACTCACCTAAAAAAACACACAAGCCCACAGAATGGATACGAAGACAGAATCCATACTTCTGCTGCATACAAGAAACACATCTAGGCTTTAAAGATAGACATTACCTCAAGGTAAAGGGTTGGGAAAAGATATTCCAATCAAATCGAACCAAGAAGCAAGCAGGAGTAGCTATCCTAATATCTAACAAGTTAGACTTCAAACCAAAATTAATCAAAAGAGATGAAGACAGTCATTTCGTATTCATCGCAGGAGAAATTCATCAACACAAAGTCTCAGTTCTGAACATCTATGCCCCTAATACAAAGTCACCCACATTCATAAAAGAAACACTACTAAAACTCAAAGCTCATATAAAACCTCACACACTTATAGTGGGAGACTTAACACACCACTCTCAACATTAGACAGGACCACAAATCAGAAACTCAACAAAGAAACAAAAGAACTAGCAGAAATTATGTCTCAACTGGGGTTAACAGACATCTATAGAACATTCCATCCAAAGACAAAAGAATATATTTCCTTCTCTGCTCCACATGGAACCTTCTCTAAAATCGACCACATACTAGGTGGCATAACAAACCTCAACAGATACAAGAGAATAGGAATAGTCCCCTGTATCTTATCGGACCACCATGCTTTAAAATTGGAATTCAACAACAACACAAATAGCAGAAATCCTGAAAACTCATGGAAACTGAACAATGTGCAGTCAAAGAAGAAATAAAGAAAGAAATTAAGGACTTTCTGATATTCAACAAGAATGAGGACACAACATACCTGAACTTATGGGACACCTTGAAAGCAGTGCTACAAGGGAAGTTCATTGCACTATGTGCCCATATGAAGAAAACAGAGGATAGTCACATAAGAGAATTAACAGCGCAACTGAAAGCCTTAGAACAGAGAGAAGTAAGCTCAGCCCGTAGGAGTAGATGCCAGGAAATAATCAACTTGAGGGCTGAAATAAACAAAATAGAAACTAGGAAAACAATACAAAAAATCAATGCAACAAAGAGTTGGTTTTTTGAGAAAATCAGCAAGATAGACAAACCTTTATCCAAATTAACGAAAAAGCAGAGTCAGAACATGCAAATTAACAAAATCAGAAACTAAAAGGGAAACATAACAACGGACACAGAGGAAATCCAGACAATTTTCAGGTCATACTTTGAAAATCTGTATTCCACAAAAATTGAAAATTCAAAGGAAATGGACAAATAACTATCACTTACCAAAATGAAATCAAGAACAGACAAACAACTTAAATAGACCTATAACCAGCAATGAAATAGAAGCAGTCATCAAAAGCCTTCCAACCAAAAAAAGTCCAGGGCCAGATGGATTCAGTGCAGAATTCTACCAGACATTCAAGGAAGAACTAATACCACTATTCCTCAAACTGTTCCACAAAATAGAAACAGAAGGTTCATTGTTAAACTCTTTTTCTGAGGCCACAATAACCTTGGTACCAAAGCTTCACAAAGACACAACTAAGAAAGAAAACTACAGACCAATATCACTGATGAACATCGATGCAAAAATACTCCATAAAATACTGGCAAACCGATTTCAAGAATACATCAGAGAAGTCATCCACCATGACCAAGGAGGCTTCATCCCTAGAATGCAGGGATGGTTTAACATACGAAAATCTATCAACGTGATCTACCATGTAAACAAACTGAAAAAAGAAAAACCATATGATTATCTCCCTAGATGCTGAAAAAGCCTTTGACAAAATTCAACACCCTTTCATGACAAAGGTCTTGGAGAGGTCAGGGATAGCAGGAACATACCTAAACATAATAAGAGCAATATACAGCAAACCAACTGCCAACATCAAATTGAATGGAGAGAAACTTAAGCCAATTCCTCTAAAATTAGGAACAAGACAAGGCTGCCCTCTCTCTCCATGTCTCTTCAATATCGTACTAGAAGTTCTAGCTAATGCTATAAGACAACAAAAGGTGATCAAGGGGATCCAAATTGGAAAGGAAGAAGTCAAAATGTCTCTATTTGCAGATGATATGATAGTTTACATAAGCGACCCAATAAACTCTACCAGGGAACTCCTACAGCTAATAAACACCTTCAGCAAACTAGGAGGATACAAGATAAACTCAAAAAACTCAGTAGCCCTACTTTTTTCAGACGACAAAGAGACAGAGAAAGAAATCAGAGAAACATCACCCTTTACAATAGCCACAAGCAACATAAAGTATCTTGGTGAAACGCTTACCAAACAAGTAAAAGATCTATATAACAAGAACTTTGTGGCTCTAAACAAAGAAATTAAAGAAGATACCAGAAAATGGTGGGGGTGGGGGGATCAATGCATGTCTCACTTAGGGTCAAATGGCCAAAAGGCACTAAGAAATTGTTCAACATCTTTAGCTATCAGGGAAATGCAAATCAAAACAACTCTGAGATACCATATTACTCCTGCCAGAATTGCTAGAATTAAAAACACCAATTACAGCTCATGCTGGAGAGGAAGTAGAGAAAGGAGAACACTCCTCCATTGCTGGTGGGAGTGCAAACTTGTACAGCCATATTGGAAATCAGTAGGGAGGTTTCTCAGGAAAATGGGAATCAGTCTAACTCAAGATCCAGCAATCCCACTCTTAGGCATATACCGAAATGATGCATATTCTTACCATAAGACATTTGTTCAGCTATGTTCATAGCAGCATCATTTGTAATAGCCAGAACCTGGAAGCAACCTATATGACCTCAACCAAAGAATGGATAAATAAAATGTACATTTACACAATGGAGTATTACTCATCAGTAAAAAACAATGACATACTAAAATTCATGGGGAAATGGATGGAACTAGAAGAAACCATCCTGAGTGGGGTAACCCAGTCACAGAAAGAAAAACATGTTCATAAGTGGACATAGACATAAAGCAAAGGATAACCAGCCTATAATCCACAACCCCGAAGTAGCTAGGAAACAAGGAGAACTCTCAAGAACTCTTTAATATCTTTTACATAATACTAAATCTGAGGGTTCTCTGGGAAGCTAATGGCAGAGCTGTGACACAGGCAAATCCTACCTTACAGTAACACATAACGATCACAGGCGAGGATTTGGGGGATACACAACCAAGTTTCACAGGAGTTGCAATAATATTTACTTCTATTTATTGACACTGGATTTGTTCAGTAGCATAAAACTTAATTAAACTTAAGTGCCAATACTATTGGAGCAATTAAGTGGTATTTCTGGGTCTGTTCCCATTAAAACTTTGAACTCAACATTTGTCAAATGACATGTGTTTTTGGCAAGATAACAGAATCCAAGTCCCCTTAACAACTCCCTTTTGCTTTTTAAACTCTTAGGGCATCAATATCAAAAGATTCAAGTGTCGGTTAAGTCAGAAAATTATTCCATTTCAAAGGATCAAAGGATATTTTTACAACAATAAGTGCCTGTCTTGAAAGTATGAGTTCTAACCACAACTTTGTAAGTGAAAGGTGGCAGACATCCTGAATGAGAATGCCTCTCTATATGCTGAATGTTGAAAATACCCCATCTCCCTGAAGCCACACTTAGACAGGGTGACATCTGGATAAGGCAATGAACTCAGATGGTTACTGCCCTCATGAGTGAGATCAGTGTCCTGGCCACCAGCAGCAAGCAGCATTATTGCCAGAATCCTGATTGAAGTTTTCACAGCTCTAGATGAATGGTACATTTCTCTTTCTGAAGCCACCCAGTCTGCTGGATTCTGTTACACTCAGACTGAGATAAGCATCTTGATCAAAAGGCAAGAACTGCCTTGGTTTAGAGCTTAGGATTTCCTAAAAATGAATGGCCTTTCCCTCTGAGGATCGATACTATGCGTTAAATTCTATAGTATTTATTCCATTGGAAGGAAATGGAGATCACTCGTGAACAGCACTCATTCTTGAAGTGAAATGCTTCATGAATCTGCCAGCTTAGAAGAATTCTCACAAGCACAGAAAAGTTCACAAACATCTCTTAAGAGGGTGAAATACAAAGGACTTCTAATGATAAATTTATCTAACTCCAATCTTATTTTTAAAAGAAGAAAAGGGTGGGTTTTTTTTGTTTGTTTGTTTGTTTGTTTCTAAAAATAAGTAAAATTATTTCATTCATTGGCTTGCTGGGTACTCTTCACTCAAGAGTCTGTGTATATCTTTCTCTGTTCCAAAATACTCAACCACCCTGGGAGACAATGCATAAAACCCACTGCTAACACCGCTTGCTGTCATCCACAGTGTGTACAGCTATGCTGAAGGCCAGTACTTCTGTTTACCCACGATACAGGAAGGTGGGGCACTTACCGAGCTGGGGCTGGAGTGCCGCCGAACTTTAGGGGACTCTTTGCCAGCGGAGGAGGACTTAAAATTAATGCAAGCATTGTTCTCAGAGTGCACCCTTTTTACTTGATTGGCAGGCTTCTCAAATGGGTCAAAGGTGCTCTGTGTTCTCTGAACTCTGACTTTTTTATCCTCAGGGATTGTGTCCAGGTGCTTGATCACCGAATCCATCCCCTGGCAGTTCCGTGTAGACATCTTTGTGACACATATCTGGAAAACAAAAGAAACGACATGAAGACTCTTCACTGAATACATCAATCTTTCCAATGCTCATTTCAATTTCAGGAAATACCCCCAAAAGCCCACTTTTATGAGATATACTCACTACACAGGAAATTCCTTATAACTATTCTGTGTACACTTTACAGCTTACACTTTAAAAGGAAAAAAAAGAAAATTTTATCTATAAAAAAACAAAACAAAACAAAAATAAATACATAAAACACCTTATGGCACAGGCCAGGTCACGTATCCTACAAAGTTCTGAACTCTGTCTCAGGTTTTATCATCTGACTGCAAGTGGATATTTCTAAATCATCAAAAGAGTGGATAAGCCAACTTCATTTAAAAAGAAAGGCAACAAAACACACAGTTGGCTCCCTTGGGATGGACAGAAGCTGTAAGGAGGAAGGGGGTTACTTTGTTTGAAAGGTTTACGTCTGAAGACTCAGGTTGAAAAATCTGCCCCATCTGGACTTAGTATCAAGTGGAGTGAAAACAGTAGTTAGGTGGTAAGTAGTGAGGACACTTGTGCCTTTTTTCCTTTCTATTTCAAAGCTAAGAAATTACACTTTCAGTGAAACACCGGGTGACACCGTTTTCCTGTTGTTTGCCTTACCTTACTGACCTGTTTCCCGCCCAACACCAACGCCCACAGTCACTCTCTCATGCTCAGATTTCACTTCAGTCTGTTGTGTTTTGTTCCCATTTACCACACTGCGTTCCAACTTTCATTCTCCCTACTCTGGGAACACTGGAGTCGTCTACTGGAAACCTCTAGCTTTCGTGTAAGGATCTTAGGTGGCCCCCAAAAGCCACATGTTGAGGGCTCAGTGGTCCCAACCCTGAACATCACTGTGAGGTAAAGTGTTAGGAGGTGGGGCCCAGCAGAAGGAAGTTAGGCCATTTGTTATGTGTGTTTCCTTAATTTCTGGACTCTTCACCATAACCTCCCCGCCCCCCTCCCCTGCCTCCTCTCTCTAAGCTTGCTCTTGCTCTCAGTATGATTTTCAGCAATCTCAACATGAGCATCTTGGCTGACTCTACTGTTCAGCTTAACTGTGGCACTGCCTCAGCACAGGCCCCTGAACAACACTGCACTGGTTCAAGGCTGGACTGGGGAAACCTGTGATGCAAGAAAATCTCCCCTGGTTTCAGGTCACAAGAACAAGAAAGCTGCACACCAGGTTCTCTCTCCTCTCTAAAGAATGATTACTCTGAATGGAACTGCTTCTACACCTTTTCCTAAACAGTTACTGCATCCCTATATGCTATCAAATGAGAAACACTGGAAAACATTTAATAAAAGCTCATATTGTTAAAGATCAACTTTTAAAATAACATACAGGTTGAGTTCATTAAGAGAATAATTGTCTCTATGTATATGGATATACATACACTGATGTAAACAGAGACACAGATACAGCTGTGGGCTTCAATGTTTCAGAGGGTGTATAAGGACAGTGGGGGAAAAACTCAAGCACAATATCAGATATCTGCAGATACAAGTAAAGCTAATATTAAATTTATAAACTTTTATTTGAATTATGCAATAAGTATGCAAATTTATATGATAAGAAATAAGTTAAATGTGTGTATAAAATAAACAAAATATGTAAAGCTTTAGAAAATAAAAATTAACTTAATATTTTGCATCCACCCTGTCTCAAGAATTTGCCACCATTGTATTTGTAATAGCAAGAACCTGTAAGCAACCTAGATGCCCCTCAACTGAAGAGTGAATAAAGAAGATGTGGCACATTTACATAATGGAATAGTACTCTGCGGGGGGTGGGAGAGGGGGGAAATCTTGAAATTCTCAGGCAAATGATTGGAACTTGAAGAAACCATCCCGAATGAGGTAACCCAGTCACATAAAGAGGAATATGGTATGTACTCACTCATATATGGATTTTAGACATAGACCAAAGGATTACCAGCCTATAATGCACACTGCCAGAGAAACTAGGTTACAAGGAGGAATCTAAGAGATTCATACAAGGTCCCTCACAGAAGGGGAAAGGAATATATTGGGAGTGGGGGGGGCAGTGAGTGGAGAGGGAACTAGAAGAAAGAGAAGGGGTGGAGAGGAAAGCACCTGGGATTAGAAATATTGAGTCAGGGGAGGAATAGATGAGAGAAAAATAAAAAGAAAGAGAGATACCATAAAAGAGGGAACCATTATAGGTTTCAAGAGAAAACTGTCTCTAGAGAAATACCCAGAGACCTACAAGACTGACCCCAACTAACAATTTAAGCAACAGTGAAAAGCCTACCATAAATGCCCTTCCCTGATAATGAGATTGATGACTGACTTATCCACCATCATAGAGTCCTCATCTAGTAGCTGATGGAAACAAAAGCAGACACCCACAACTAAACACTGAGCCAAACTGGAATCCAGATGCAGAGAGGGAGGACAAGACCAGGCTACAGAAACACATAGAGACAGATGACCTGAACAAAGAGAAGCCATGGGGCCCCAGACTGATAGCTGGGAATCCAGCATGGGACTGACTCTGAACCCCTGAACATAGGTCTCAGTTAGAATGCCTGGGCAGTCTAAGGGACCTCTGACAGTGGAATCAGGATATATCCCTGGAGCACAAAAGGACTTTGGGAGCACATTCCCCATGGAGGGATACTCCCTTAACCTAGAGGCAGGAAGGAGGGCCTAGTCCCTATTCCAAATGACTTGACAGATTTTGTTGACCCCTTCTGGAAGGCATCACCCTCCCTGTGGAATGGGGGGATGGGATGGGATGGGATAGGGGTGCACAGGAGGGAGGGAGAAAAAAAGGGAGGGAGAGAACTGGGATCGACATATAAAATAAGAATAAATAAATACATAAGAATATGAGACCATTGTTAAGTATAGGATGAATTATAATTAAACCAAGTGAGGCAGAACCTTTGTAGCATTCCTCAGAGGTGCTGAGAATATTTGGTAGTTTGGGGTTTCTTGTTGTTTATGTTTTTTATGTACCTGTATATGTGTCTGACTCTTTGTGTGTGACTTTGTGTGTGTGTGTGTGTGTGTGTGTGATATTTATGTAGTATCCCAAGAGGCCAAAAGAGGACACTGAGTTACAAATGATTGTAAACCATCAGCACAGATGCTGGCAGCCACACATGTATCCTCTGGAAGAGCAGCAAGTGATCTTAACTGCTGAGCCATCTCTCTAGCTCTGAAGATATACAATATAGAATATTCTACACATGATCAAAACCTAGTAATATAAGTATGCTAAATGCAATCAGTGTTTTCAAGGATTTGTGTTCTTTTTAAAAATAGGAAGGCAATAAATAAGAAAATATCACCATCACTGAGTCAATCAACAGACACATGAGCCTTAAGGGTCACTAAACCCTAAAGACAAGAGGGTCTAAGACAAATCCATAAACATGTATTACTAATATGTGTATACATATAAGATACATGTACATAAATATATAACACCAAATGAACATAGAAAAGAAAAGATGAAATATAAAGACATTACATGGGAGTCAATTGTAAGATACTTCAGATACTTAGAAGAATGGATGGAATCCAAACTAAGCATAAAATTAAATAACAAGTCAATATCAAAATGGAAATAAAATAGAAAACAATGAAAAAATTAATAAAAATTAAAACACAAAGTTAAAAATTGACAACCATCTAAGTAGAATGACAAAGGAATGAAAAAAAAATACATTTCTTTGGATTTAGACTCCAGTTCACAAGTGAATCTAAAATAAATCAGCATACCATAATAGTTCTGCAATACCATGTTTTCAGGCACCTACTAGCAGAACATAATGTGAGAGAGTAATGAGAGAATTACTTCTCTTTTTAAGGTTATTTTGTTTTGTTTTGTTTTAGTTATATGTATGCATATTTTGCCTGCATGTATGTATATGTACCACATGCATGCTTGGTGCCCACAGAAGCCAGAACATGTTGTTGGAGCCCCTGGAACTAGGGTTGCAAATACTTGTGAGCTACCAAGTAGATGCTGAGACATCCCAGGTTCCCTATGAGATCAACAAGTGTTTTAATTGCTGATGCTCCAGCATCTGAGATTCAACTATTCTTTAGCTAAGTCGATGAAAGAAGGGGCCACACTACGTTACTGCATCCTTTTCAACAATACTGTGTTAGGTCTTCTTATAATAAGACATATACAAAATATTCACCCAAATATTAATCATCATATGTTTTATACAAAAGAGCTGAGGCATCAAACATTCATCCAAAAGCTATTATTTTAAAAAGCACATTAAAAAGCACAACCCTGCTACAGAATAATAAATACATATGTACATGAACAGCTATCACCAAGATTCTTCAACTGAAGCTCATTATAATATGTGGATTCTAAAGCAGTACTTAGTATCTCCTGACTTTGACTAATACCCTCCCTTTTCCATGCAACTCTGATGTGATATCATGCAACTATATTGTCCTATATGTAAACATTAGATCACCTGTAGGGATAACCAAAACTAGGAGAGCCATTCAAAGCCAAGTAAAACACGTCAGAAAGCTTCAGGCTGAGTGGCCTGAAAGATGGTGATGACATGATGAGAAGTATGCTATGCAACCATAAGGATAACACTGTCTCCTGACAACTTTCAGGAAAATGGGGGCCATGATACTTCACACACAGTAAAACTAGCTCTGTGGACAAGTAAGAAGACCTTGCGCTGCAAGTGAAGCCACCCTCCAGACAACAACCTGATTTCAGCCTGTTAAAGCAATGAGCAAAGAAACCCCAGGCCACACCCAGACTTTCACCCTATTGACACTATGAAATAAGCCCTTGCTTTTGTGGTACTACTATGTGACTACTATGTGCATTTAGTCATTCTGATACCTGAGACAAACTTACAAAAAACAAACAAACAACAACAAAAACCAGGCCAAAATAAGCAATGCTTGTCTTGACTATTGTACTGAGCAGCATCAACCACAACTGTGTAAGTACTCTAAAGCTTATGAACAA